TCCAACATTCAGCCAGGCCCAACTAACTGACCGTCACGGGCTGCTGAAACACAACCCCCCAAAAGCCCCGTGAAAACGTCTTTAATTTAACAGGACAAGAGGCATTTTAAAGACTGAGACCTGCTCAGAGAAACTCCTTCGAGTTTCACGAATCCAGCAAAAAGTACAGCAGATTTTTTTTTTTTTTTTTTAACAAACACGTTACAAAAAAAAAAAAAAGACACGCCGAGGAAGACAGCGTGGGTCCAGACCTCCCAACGCTAACGCTACGGCTATGAGATGAATCATCCGTCCTTGCAAAGTTTGAGTCCCTTGTTCATGCTATTTGCTCTGTTTCTAGCAAGGCGTTTGTTTGCCACAGAGTTTCTAGTCCCGGAGCTGGACAAAACCCCCTAAAGCCTGCTGGATTTAGGGATAGACGGATGGGTTTGGGGGGCTGGAATGTTTTAAGAAGGCTTCGGTCTGTTTGGGAGGCTCTCTCCGCGAGTCTGTGAGTTCAGTCCTGAAGCAGGCCGAAAGGAGACTGTAGAGAAGGAACCAGAGAAAAGAGGAGAAAAGATCAAGCCTTGAAACCTTTATGAACAACCGAGGAGAGAAAACAGCCACTTTTGACCTTCATGATCACAGTATGGACTGGCAAAGGAAAAAAAAACAACCCTCTGGTCACTGGGACCTCTATGGGGTTTTTTTTGGCATGTTGTACAGCCCCGGATAGAAGCACCCAACGAGGAAAACAATGGAACAAGAGCACCCCAGCTACAAGCCGAGATGCACGGTTGCAAACGTAGGGTTTCTTCTCAACTGCAGAAGCAACGGGTTTCCATCGCAGCCTACGCCAAGCTTTGTCTGCTTAACTACAGAAGCTGGCACCCCATGCAGCGGGAAGGAGGAGGGTATTGTTAGACGGTCCAACTCTTTAAGTCTAGCAACTATATCCTCAGCCTGATGGAGGGTATTTCTACCCGAAAGCTTGCAAGGAAGAATTTTTCCAACTATTTAAGTTGGTCTAATACAAAGGAATCGGATTTACCCGAAACAACCTTGTCTGCCAACTATCCCCATGACATTTCAGTGGCCAGCTGCACTACTTCGGAGGCCTGGGCTATTACCGAGATCCACCGTATTCACAGTGAACAGCTACTACACAGCAAAATGTATTGCTACCTTCCTGAGCAATACTCCTAGAAAGTATGAAGGAAGTACTCCTACTCCTAGAGAAGTATTGCTACTTCTAACACCACCAGCTTTTTCTGCTCCCTTTCTCCTCTGCCTGGTGTGGAGAACGCATGCCGGCGAAGCCAGGATGAGTAAGGCCGGCACGGTCAATCCTGGTGACCTGACCAAAGTACCCAAGGTGCCACAATGGTCTTGCGAGGTCCCTTCCAGACCCTAATGCCTACAAAACTGCTGCCAATTTGTTGCTCTCCCATTGCAGGCTGTGCAAATTCATGTCATGGGCATCTCGCTTGAAAAGGGGCAGGTCTTGCAAGGTCCCTTCCAGCCCTAATGCCTACAAAACCACTGCCAATGTGTTGCTCTCCCACTGCAGGATGTGCAAATTCATGCCACGGGCATCTCGCTTGAAAAGGGGCAGGTGACGGGCTTGTGAACTACTCGCCGCCCGGTGCTACGGGACGTATTTTGCTGGCGAACAGCAAGGAGAGGATTCCCTCATCTCGGAAACACACGAACCAGTCTACGGGCTCTGCAAACAGCTGGGGCAACCTGCTGCTGTGTGCAATACAAGGGAGGAAAGGAGACGTGCTCGAATCTGAGAAGGTGCTTTCCAGGGGAGATCTACTGTCAACGGGGAAAGAATGAAAAGCTCTTTTCATTGACATTGAGGAACTGCCTCGAGAGGAAGGAACTTTTTCCCCATCACCAACCTCCAGGATTCCTTGTTAGTAGTGGAGATCCATGCTTTAAACCAGACTGAAAGCAAACTGTCTTCCAGCTTAATGCACGATAAAAATGGCCCCAAATTTTGGCTGTGGTAGAGGCAGGATAAAGACGGATGCTCCAAACCCAGCTGTGATCATGAAGGTATTTGGCATAACAATAAATAAGAGAAAACCATGCAGGAAAGAATGAGCAGACAGAAAGAAAACAAGACACACAGAGACAGAGAGAGAGAGAGAGACAGGCTCTGAGTAATTGTAATTACTGAGGGATTTTCTGATTACCTTGCAGAATCCAATTTTTTTTTTGATCACCATACAGACTTCTTTTCTTTCTCATCCTTAATCATTAAGACAATTATGTTTCCTGCCCTGCCAAATGCAATTAGGTTATTTTTTTTCTCTGCTTGTAAATTGACGGTTGTTATCATCATTTTCCAAAATAAGATCTATTTTATTGCTCTTTTTTTTTTTTTTTTTTAAAGGCAATGACCATATTGCCCCTGGTAAATTCCCCTGTGCTTCTTCCAACCGTCAACCGCACCCCTTTCGAAATTCAGGATGAATCCTCTGCTCTTACCTTAAATGGGGAATACTCAGCCTGGCTTTTCCATGTTGGAAAACATTTGCAATAGCATGGGAGGTTCTCTGTCTGAGCGCAGTTATGTTTCGTGAGTAAGAAACCAGAGGGAAGAAGCCAAGGCTCCTAAGTGCTGCAATCAGAGCCACGCGGGCAGACCCCAGGAAGGTACCCAGAGCCCCTGTCCGACCCGCGCTCTCAGTTGCACGCACCAAATTGCACGGTGTGACGTGTAGCTTCAAATCCCGTCATACTCAGCTCACAGGCAAGACGCTGGTGTGTGCTTCTGAAAGCCCTATTTATAGCTACAAAAAATTCACTTCGCCTTCCTAACAAAAAAGCAGCCTGGCAGACGAGTTGCAGTTTATCTGATTTTGGATGCCCCGATGAGCAAACAGGGCCTGAATCCTTCCCTAAACAAGTGCCCACTAACCCTCGCCTTCCTGCATGGGAGCTTCTCAAAGTCAACGACTCCAGAATTGTCTCCCCTTGCACCGAGATGCTGCAAACTCCTCCCAAAAGAAAGGGAACTACCACCAAAACCTATTGTTTTAACACTAAAGATGCTTTTCTCGGTTCGTTTGTCATGGAGCAAAGCCTCCGACTCAGGTAAACCCACCGGAAAGCCAACTTGGCGCATGTTTCAGCGGATGGCTGGAGCCCTCTCCCTGCTCAAGACCGAGCTAGGACCAGACAACCGCTGAAAAGTAACTTTTCCTCCTGGCATTGTTCAAAGCATCTAATCGCCTGCCCCCCTGCCCGCATCAGCGCACACTCAGCAGCTGAAAAACAGCCCGGGAACTGGAACAGTGCCACGAGACAGGCTGAAAAGTTTCATTAAACTAAACGGACGGACTCGTACGCACACAGGTCTGCAAGGCAACAAAAATACCGACTTCTGCTGCCAAAAACCCGTCCCATGGATACGGGAAGAATGAAAACAGTAATTACAGCAAAGCAACTCTGTCAGCACCCAGAGGCAGGCTGTCATTTATTTCAACCCGCTTCTGCTTACAAAACCCTTTTTTGGGGGGGTGTGTTTGTTTTTTTACAGCAAGGACGACTCTACTTGAGGGGTCTCTCTCAAAGCAGGAAGGTTTTTCTCACTGCTGACAGGTAGCACATAGATCTGGTGCAATCGCAGGGCATGCATCTAAAAAACAATGGGGATTGCACCAAGTGGGTGGGTGAGATCCTAAAGCTCCTGGCTTCTCCATTTCAACACAGGGCTTTGTTAATAGCCCCAAAAAGGTCCCAGCTGGTACCGAGACAGCATCCTAAATGCCAGTGGGTGGAAGTCGCCTGGTGCAGAGGGCTGGCACAGGTCTGGGGGCACCACACCTCGGGAGCCCTTGGGGGCTCATCTCGGCTCTGCTGTGCCATGAGTTGCATGTCTGGCACACAAGCAAAAAGGAGAAGTCTCACCAAATGCCGCTACCTGCGATGCTCAGGAGAGCAATTAAAGCAAGTTGGGGGATCTGGGGGCTACTTGCAACTCCATCACTGACTCGGAGCCAAAAACGGTGAGGCATCTTACGGCCGTTTCCATTTCCCCGCGAGTTTAGATGCTTACCTACATTTTTAGATCCTTCACAAGTCCCTCGCTCTGGCTCCCTCCCTTCGCCCCTTCCAAAAACGGGGACAACAGTAGTTCCTCTCACCCGCACACCAAAATTAACTTTTGCAACTGCTTTGAGACCCTGCACTGATGTGGCTTTAGGTACGTATAAAAGATACTGCTTTACAACTGCCCGAGGGCCAGGAAGATATTCTTGTCTCTCCACCATTATGAGCTTCAGGCTTTTAAAAGTCCCACAGTTTTTCTGAACCTACAATTTGATTTTCCAGTCCAACCCCAGACCTGCCCACCGGTGACATCAAAGGAGTCATTCCCCAAAGGTGCAACGGGGCTTGCAAGCCGGGCTCTCTTGGAAGAGGTCACCGGGCAAGAGTCCGGGGGTGGATGAGCTGGGGCCGTTCAGCAAGTTGCTCCTTTGCCACAAAAAGCCCCTGGCAAGGGAGCACCTCGCTCAGCACTTCCATCCAAAATGCTCATCAGGTTTTGTCTGCAGGCAGTTTGAGGGAGAGGCTGTTGACTCAATGCAAGCAAAGACAGCCTCAGATCCCCGATCCAAAGCCCTCTCTGCTCAGCAGCCCATCCCTGTGCATGCTAAGGTCGAGGGCACACGGTTTGCACTAAGAGGAGGCTGGCACAATGCAGGCCCCAAGCACAGTTTGGATGGGAGGGGGAGCGTGGATGGGTTTGCTCCGTTGCAGAAACAAGTGAGGGCTAGATCTCAGAGCCTCCGAGAAAGCTCAGTGAAGCCCACTTGCTCTTGCCATATCAGGTAAGAGCCTGCTGCTCCTTGCCTGGCTACCAAGCCAGGGTTTTGCAAACGGGATGAACTCAGGACACCCTTCTTAACCACCCAGGCATGAGCCACGTGGACCTCCCGTCTCTCTTTCTCTCTCTTTTCCACCTCCCCAGCCCCACAGTCCTTGCTAGCTTGCTAAATACTCACTGCTTTTGGAGCAAGTGCTGGTGCTGCTGCTGCTGCTGCTGCCGGTAGGTCTCGATCGTGTGCTGCGGGAGGTACTGCATGAGCTCCAAGGACTCCTTGATCTTCAGTAACATTTCGTACGTCTCCCGGCCCCGGACCTGGGCGAAGGAGATGAGAGGGAAGACGACACAGCCCTCAGAGACCGAATATTACAAAAGCAAGAGCTACAGCCCCAACACAATCTCCTCAAAGTCAGACAAGGAGCAGCACGGACATGCATCATCCATGCTCTTTCTGAGGGTCACAATGATCATCCCTTGCCTTAACACTAGCATCTAACTGCTGCACCTTTAAGGGAAGAGGTTGCAGGTCAGATATGGATGACGAATACTTAACATTTTGGGGGTGTTCGACACCGAACTTTTCAACGAGCTCACTGCAACTTTACTGGGTAAATGCCCTGGGTGTTAGCAAGATCCAGCTGCACAGCACTTTGATGCTACAGGGGCAGGAGCCGCAGAAACTCTTAGGTGCACGAGGTGTACATCCATCTGGATTCAAGCTTCACAGGCCCCAAACATCTGCAGGAAGGCAGCATTGGTCTGGGCTCTTCAAGTGCTCTCTGTGCTACAAGTCTTAGGGCCAAGCACTATGCACTAGGAGACCGGTAAATGGACAATCACAGACCCACTTTGCTCCTCCACTCCCAGCTGTGTCCTGTGCTATTTACAGCACATTGCATTTCTATCAATCGCTTCCTCCCTGTGACAGATAATGCTCCTAAAAGCTCAAGAAACATCTGCCAGAGCACAGAGGAAAAAAGGATCTGGGTCCATTATCGCTGGAGGAAATTTGGATCCTAGAGAGGCAGGCGTGACGGGAGAAAGCTTCATTAGGCAGTAAGTCCAGCCACCTGCAAGGACAGGCCGTTCCCTCCTGGATGCTCTGGAGCACTTTGGCCAGGCTGTTTTGAAATGATTTGCTCAGTGGGTCCTGCATGGTATAAATCTGGAGGGTGAATTTAAGATACTTGGTTTGCAAAAGCCATTTCTTTCACTCCTGTACCTAGTCTGTGGATAATCCCATCTAAGGTAAAGGATTCCCAATTTTTTTGTTTTTTAACTGAGCACCAAAAAAGCAGCTGTTTAGCCTCAATCTACTTATAATGATGCCAAAATAACCAACAAGCTATGAAGGGAAAAGACAAAGAGGCAAATGGCTTACCGGCAAGTACAAGAGCTCATCGTCAGGAGAGCGCCGCTTTTTGATTGACGTCATCTGGATGCCATGGGTGCCCTGCCGGAAAGCTGCAAAGAGATCCCCAAAGTGCCCCATTAAGAGACACCCAATGCATGGGATGGTTGCAAAGAGGATGGAGCTGGGCTGGTCTCAGTGGGGGCAGGTGACAGGACAAGGAGCAATGGGCTCAAGCTGCAGCAAGGGAAGTTGAGGTTGGATATTAGGAAAAAAAATATGTTCACTAGGAGGGTGGTGAAGCACTGGAACGGGTTACCCAGAGAGGTGGTGCAGTCTCCATCCTTGGAGGTTTTTAAGGCTCAGCTAGACAAACTTTGCCTGGGATGATGTAGGTGGGGCTGGTCCTGCTAGGAGCAGGGGGTTGGACTAGATGTGACCTCCTGACATCCCTTTCAATCCTCATTTTCAATGATTTTCTCTCTCGTTGGGCTTCCAAGGAGAATTCAGAGAGGACCCATGTATACAACAGGTTCCCAGCATTTGCTAAAGCATGGATGAGACGTGAGGCTGCATTTTTGTGACCGTGAGCTAAAGAGAGGCACTGAAAACCATACATTGGATGGCGTGTATGTGGCCATAAAGAGTGGGAAGTCAAAAAACACACAAACCAAACTTTCTGTAGGGTAGTAAGCCTGCATTTTGCCACTAAAGCAAAAGCATTGTGATATAGTATAGGGCATAACTTAAGTACAGCACTAAAAAGCCCTTAACATCAATAATTGTAGGTGCTTGTATAACTACAAGCACCTACAATGCTTGTAGGGTACTCTGGGCAACCAGCAGAGCCACGGCTAACCGAACTGGGGCCACGAGATGGATGCTGACAGCAAGTACAATGGACAAAAGCACTGGGCAGCCTGGTGATGCCAGTTATGAGAATACCCTCCCCAAATTGCTCAGCTTTTTAAGGGAGCAGAGCAGGGAGCAGGAAGGTCGAATCCCTCAATGAGGCAAGTCCTCCAGCTACAGATAAATGGCTTCGTGCCATCACTGGGCATGCAGGATACCCCACCCTGGAGCTGGGTATTACCAACAGCCATGGGCCATGGTCCCGAAGGAGAGCACTCAAAACAGCTCCAGCACCGTGGGGTTGAAATGGAGCCGAGTGCCGTCCCCCGGGGCAGGGGCAGCTGCAGCCACGAAGCATCTTGAAAGATGAAGCGTTGCAGAGAAACATGGGAGCACGGCTCCAATGCGCACACGGGGCCACAGCAGGTCAGGACAGGCTGCATGGGTTTGACAACACCATCACCATCCAACAGCAGCACTTGGGACAAGTCGCCGCTGGTCCATGCTGCACTGGGGACAGCTGGGCCATGACTCCTTGATGGAGCCAACTGGGTCAACACCCATGCATTGGTAGGCAGCGGTTTTAATCCACAGCCTGGACAGAAATCCCCACAGATCCTTTTCTTAAAGGATCCTGGCAGTTTCCTGCCTTTCGGATCCCAGTAACGCCCTCCTGTCTCCGGCCAGTCTTTCGTTCCCCGGGGACAGAAGCTGGCAAGCTTCCCGTGCGCCGAAAGCTCGGCCTGCCCTCGGCTCCGCTCTGCCAGCTACTTACGGCGCTTCGTACCGTCACCATTCTTTGTGCTGTCAGAAACTTGCTGCTTTCGGATGCTGTCTTCGTCCGCTTTGCGATCCCGGCCTGGGCAGGCGCAGATACGGGCTTCAAAACACCTGCGGCCCAGGACTTGTCCGCTAAGGCAAGGAGGAAGAGAGGGAGCAATCAACCAAAGCCCAAAAAATGTCACATCTCTAACAAGCAGGCTTAAAACTCCCAGCATCAGGTACCATACACACAGAGGATCAGCAAGATGGGGTAAAATATCAACCCGTGTCCAATCCCACCCCTGCCCCAGCTCACAAGTGTGTGTTTGCACAGAAGCCCAGGTGTCCGAGCCAAAGACACCTACCAGCCCCCTGACCCACTCGCTTTGGGTGTGCAAATCTGAGCAACTAGCACCCTACCAATCGCTGTATCTTGGTCTGTTCTTTTAACACCTGAGATACAACTGCATGGCAGGAGAGTTTATTGCTCGGCAAAATACCCAGCAGGAAACTCAATGTTCAGTAAAGTGGGAAAATGAGATGTGGACATGGCTGCTGCTGCAGCCCTTTATATGCACGGGGTTTCACCCCTAAAGCAAAACTGTCTGCATTTAGCAAATGGGGAAGCCAACACACAGGCTATGGGAGTCTCCAAAAGCCACACAGCAAGTCACGCGGAGGTGGGACCGGACCGCCAGCATCCCTATTAGCTGCCTAACCCTGGCTTGGGAGGCTGCAGTAACCCCCGGCTCTTTCATATTAAGGAATTCAACAAGGCATCCTGGTCGGGACGGGGACCAGGGAGCAGCCCTGCCTGCCAAAAACAGGGCAAAACTCTGCCACCGACTTCCCGGTGCTACTCACTCTCTGGTTTCCAGCGTCACGATGATGAGGATGGGCCGGCGGTTCATGCCTCCGACGCAGCTGCTGTTGCACATGAAGTTGTACAAGACCGTTGTGAACTCGGTGCCAACCTGCGATGGGAGAAGCCAGCATAAATGGGTGGCAGGACGTACATCCCTACCCCCCCCCGCCGGAAATTTGCTTTCCCCAAAGATGGGCCCAGACTGGAATATTTGGATAGCTCAGGGTCTGGAGAAGTCCAGATCCTGTGGGGATGAAGGGAACTCAGCTCTCAGCCCATAGCCAACTAGGACGGCGGTACCACGCGAGGGAGAACTGTGGAAGCACAACGTGGTGCCTTCAAGAGGGAGCAGAAAGGAGCCCTTTGCTCTTGATTTACCTGGGGTGGTTCATAGGGAACAAGGACGCTCTGCCGGCCCGTGATGGGGTCTTCTACGTATTGTGCATGGCTGTTTCCTTCCACTCGGATCAAGTGGCTGGGAGGAGCGATCTGCCCTGCAGACGGAAAGGAAGAGAAGGGGAGAAATGTTTCGGTGAAAGATGCTCGCTCGCCTGCAGGGGCTTTTACCGGAGGAGAAAGGTCTCGTGCTGCTACGGATGCCTTCACATTGCCCCTCTTTACCTAGTATTCGAGCACCTCACCTTTAATGTGCTTCCCTATTCTCACAGCACAGCCATGAGACAGGGAAGAGGTGGAGGGCTTGCTTAGGGTCGCACAAAACACCACAGTGGAGCGGGAAATCAAATCTGGGCAGGCTAATCCCTAACCTCTGCACCATCCTGTCTCTAGAGAGGATGCATCACCCGGCGAGCCCTATGGCAGCACACTAGCTCAGCTCCACGGGGAAACCTTAAAAAGCCTGAGTACGAAACAACCCCACTCTTTTGAAGCCCTAAAGCTTTGACTCCCTTTCCAATCAAGGCTCCAGGCTCTTCCTACCACCCAAAGGAGGCACAAATGAAAAGAAATACAAGTCAACTCAATGGCCCCTGTCAAAAGCCACCATTTCTCGCAGACAGCACACAGATCCTTTCTTCTTGGTTTCTACAAGGTTTGCAAAATCGGTAAAAATAATCGTCTCCGGTGATGTCATTTTATTTTATGTTAAAAAAAAAAAGGGGGGGGGGGGGGGGAGGAGATGTTCTTCAAGAAAAAATGCTTTAAAATAATAAGAAAAAAAGACAAAACATTTTATTCTGAACGAATCAAAACCTTCCACAGCGGAAGTTCTTTTTCCAAAACAAAATTTGATCAACGTTGATACGGTTTCTTAAAAAAAGGCATTTTCTGACCAAAGACTGTTTTGCTGAACGTTTCCCACCCAGCCGTGCTTCCCAAACCATCTGAATGTCTGGTTCTCGTTGCATTTGTCTATTAAAAGAGATCTGATCAGAGCCTCCTCATGGCAGCAGCCAGGCTTCCTGATATATTTTCAGCTGCCACGTGCACCAGGTCAAGTCAGTGGAATAGAAAAGGAACCGTATCTAAAGCTAAATGAATGCCATCCGTCTGGGTAAAACGCACACAAAATTTGTGTTTGCAAAAATGAAAACCCAGGCCATGCCTGGAACAACTGATCACCCGAAATCTGAAACAGGTAACTGGAGATCAATAAGAGATCAGTGCATTAGACTGCAGATTAGCATTAGAGCAATATATTCATGTTAAATGGGAAGCAGAACCAGCTACAGCGTGCAGCCAGCCCTTGACATTACTCTCTTCGAGGCAAACTTCCCCCTGTCTTTAAAGCCGGGATTAAGGACTCGGGGTGATATTGCATCCTGTCACTAGATCCTTGTCCTAGCAGCACAGGAGATCATTCCTGAGAAGAACAGCTGCTTCTCAGAGAAAGCGAGTCTGCGGAGGGGAGGGAAGAGGTCGTCCGAGCCAGGAGGGCACTGCTTCAGCCCTGCAGTGTGCCCGCGAGCTAAAGCAGCGCAGAGATGGCAGATGCCAACCAAGTGGGCATGGAAGAGCGAAGCCTGCAAGCAGGTCACCCAGTAAAGCCCTCCCATGCCACAGCCCCTTACCCTCATTGAACTCCCGGCTCAGCTCGTGGTTGGGGCAACGCTTGACCACCTCCGTGACGTGCTCGGCTTTCTTGTAGACGGGCATGGCGCGGATGACGGCGCCCTGGGGCGGCGGGGTCATCACCTTGATCTGAATGGGGCACGTCTTGGCGATCTGGCAGTACAGCTTCTTCAGCTCGGTGGAATACTGGAGGGGAAGAGCAGAGCGGTCAGCGGGGTCGGCGGTGGGGCTAAGAGCTGTGCGGATATGACCGTGGCCAAAAAGCACCAGAGCGATGCCCTCAGAGCCTCTTTGGACCCATTTTATACCGAAGAGAAATGAAGCTGGGAGCTGCTTTTGAAGACGGGCCTCTCTGAGCAGTGCCAAGCTCTGAACTCCAGGCCAACTTGCAGCCAGAAGTCCTACAATATTCAGCAAGCAGCTATAGACCGACACTAGCCACCTCCATCCCTTGTGCACTGCTGGCTACAGGCACCTGGCGTGACCCAACCACGTTAGGTCACTAAATCCTTCCACCAAGGTGGATCCTTTTGACATCTTGCTGCTTTAACAGGCTGAGAAGAACACATGGCCCCCCAACAGCCTTAGATCGCCAAGCATTTGAATGAGACATTCAGGTCAAAACTTGCATGAGGGTTTGGGGCACCTGCTAATTAGTGATTATGGCCCAGATCTGATCCCACCTGCATAGGAGCAAATGGCACTCGCATCGCTAGGTGTTGATGCCCAAGTGGCATTTCAGGTCCCTTTAACTCATTTGAGACCCAGTTGCCCTGGGAAGGTAAGTAGCCCTGGGTAAGACGGGAAAGGACAGGAGGGGTCTGTCACCTTGTAGCCTCATGCTTAAGGCACATGCTCCTGTCCCACAGCTTTCTTTCCATTGGATCCAAGAACTAATAAATCTAATACGTCACTGGGGGCAGAAGCCAGACAAGGATGCTCCCGTCTGCATCTCATTTGAGCCACAGAGCCAGACCCCCTGGCGGTCTACTCCTCTTCCCCAGTTGACTGCCCAGAGAGCTGCCATGTATACAGGAGCAGTGAAGGGTGCTCATGGCCCCAACCCACCCATGGTCCAGTACTGCATGGTCCTTCCTGCAAGAGGTTTTCTGTTCTAGGTCCCCGCTGGAGCCGAGCATGAACTGGCTCTTGCTCCCCGCCTAAGTGCCCTCGCCACTAGGCTAGTAGGCTAAAAGGTAGTTGTGCCCTTCCCTCCTCCTCCCTGCTAGTCTTGATTTTCCTGTGGCCAACATCCCAGAGACTTCCACAGACACTATGTACATTTCCTAGTACAAAAGGATTGCTTTGGAGCACAGGTAGCCAAGAGGAGATCACTTAGGCGGCTTACTTAAGCCACTTAAAGGAGGGCTGGACCTAGGCCTGTACGTGGTGGGTTCAGATTAGACCTCAGACACCTTCTCAAGTTTCATACTCTCAAGTACCTCTACAACAATCTTCCTCCAGGAGTCCCAAAGCACTAGCTATACTTTGAAGCACAGCATTACTGCCTGATTTTTTTTTTTTTTGATTTTTTTTTGGAGACCAAATGATCAGCCCAAATGCATGGCAAGTCAGAAGCAGACAGAAGTAGCACCCCAGCACAGAGGTCAAGGGCGTGTAGGTCAGTAGAAAGCAACTCCTCACCACTGAGGTCAGATGCAGCCACGTGCACAGCCCACCACGTCCCAGCTCCTTTGAGTTACCACTACAGCGCAGTGCGCTCCTGCCTTCCACCTGGCCACCGTCCCGAGAGACCTCGCCACAAATTTAAACCCAACTCCATGGCGCAGAGTGCCGAAGGGACTTTAGCCATGCCTGCGTGCACACCCGCGATCACAATGGATTAAGCAAGCTCTTACAGGGCTGGCTACACTGGAAACTATGCCTCTCTCCAGGCTGTATTCATCAAAGGCAGCTGTCCAGTCTACTTGACCAAGGGATGTGCTTCAAAAAAAGTGACAAAAAGGCTATTTATTTATCTTAGTCCAAGCATAAAGAAAATTGGTGACTCAAGCTCAGCTATGAAGGGCTCTATTCTCTCCATGATGTTCTGGGGAATTTAAAGCAAGGAACTCCCCCATTCAGACTAACCACACACTAACCACAGGAATTGCTGGCATCCTCCCACATCCATCTATTAATTTCTTACAGCAGAAGGAAAGCAAAAAACCCCAAAGTGCTTGTTTTCTTGAAAAGGTCTTTCACTGCCATGGCTCATGTCCCCGGTCCCAACTGTTCAAACAAGAACCCAACAGGTACATACAGGTTACAAACACAAGCTGGCCATCATCTCCTGCCAGCGCAGGAGTGCCCGTCACATCTGCGGGCGGGTGGCTGGTGATTTGACAGCAAAGGGATTAGTTATTGATATTCCAGGAATTATTTGCATTTCAAAAGTTTGCTCACTGCAACCTGCAAGAAGGTCAGAGCTGGGAGACCTGCAGTGGAGACGGAGGGTGGGAACAGGGCAGGTCCCTTCCTCCCTCGCTCCATGCCATCGCCCCGTTCACGAGTCTCGCATCCCCGTGGCCGAGGCGCTGCAAATGTTTGAAGAATAAATAAATAAACCCAATCGCTAAAAGGTGAAGATGAAATTGTGCAATCTATTTTATGTGCCTGCAGGCCAGAGATTAAAGCGCACAAAGGATTTACCCAGCCTGCGGAAATGGGGAACGCGCCAATCAATTAGAAAAGACTGATTGCAAAACGCACTCTAGATGCTGATATATCAGAGGCTTATTTTTAACCTGCTATTTCATATTCAAGGTGGTGTGTTTTGTTTTTTGGGGGTGGTTTTTTTTTTTTTAATCACAAAATAAAATAGCCGCTCACATTTTAAAATGGTGGGAAACTTAGCAACAGCACGTTGCTTAATATGTTAATCTGGTTACAGTCTGTGCTGCTGTCATCGCTTCAAACGGTCAATATAAATCATAAAGGCAGACTTAACCACCTCCCAGATTTGGATCTCTAAGTCCTATGAATGAAGGCTGGGCACTCAAAAACCCTTGCGAAACTCTGGAAACGATGTGCATCGGTACATCACATCTCAGCTTAATGAGGAGGACAGAACATGCTGTAGGGGAGAACATGTCCAATGTCTATGGGTATTACAAGAGGTAGACAGCAAAGAGGACAATGCTAGGACAATCCCAACAGTGTAGGCGAGGGCGATAGCGTTACGATGCCAAAAAATCTGCCCAGGTATGGAGTGAATGATGGTCTTAAGAGCAAAATCCTTTAAGTGAACTGCAAGACTGGTCTGAAAGATAAAAGCTCATGCCAATCACTTTTCACCTAGGAGGCCCTCAACGTGTCTACTGCAAGCAGGGACCATAGTTTAGAAATGCAGCAGGAAGCGAATCCAGTGATTCAGGACAGATAAATGGAAAACACCAGATCTAGATTAAACCGCTGGGCAGCGGGGTGTAGAAGTGGAAATGTCAGCAGACCAAAGGTTTAACTCCCAAAACTAAAAACGGGGATTAATGCATCTACTTGCTGCAATGGCTCCACCGGACATCAGGAGAGCAGCAGCAAGCAAACAGAGCGCGCCTGCAGATCGAAGCCGGAGGCACCTACTACAGCCCCCAGTAGGCTAAAATCATGGAGACGTTTCCTCGCTCTAACAAAACCCCTAGATGAAAAACAGCCAGAAACATGAATAGAAATGTGGCAGTCATGACTAGAGATGACCCAGGAGGGAGTCAGGTTGAATATCAAAAGTACCAAACATCTTCCTGCAAGTGCAGAGCTTGCTTGGCCAACACGGAGGTGCTTGAACCACCTCTGAACAAGAATCAGTAATGTATGAAACCAGGGATGCTCCAACCATGCAAACCCACACATAGGAAACTTTCAGACTACAGACCACCTACCTGCCGGCCTGCCCACGTACGGGGGAAACCGTGCACCTGCGAGGACCTTGCTAAGGCTACAGATTGAGCAGTAGCATGGCACCTGTGTCTGGACCCAAATTTGAATGTAGTGACAGGATACAAGACGACGACTGGACTTAATGCCCTGGCCCATGAGCAAAAATAGACAGATCGGTAGGTTTAAGTCTCATTTAACTAGAAACACTAAGACAAAAAGTCCGACAAAAAATTCATGACCTCCAGGCTAGGAGAAGAAGTGTCCAGGTAAAGCGTCATTATTGGAGACTGCTCCCAGACTGCATGGTAATGCTGCTGCTAATGAAAGGAATTGGTTTGATAACGTCTCTTGATGGCATCTCACATCCAGGTGGATAAAAGTTCAAGGGCATTTCAGCGGTCACCAAGAAGCGCGTATCAATGATGCCGGATCCGACCTTTCAATTAGCGAATGAACAGCCTGGACAGGCCTGCCACTTACCAGGTCTCTGCAGCAAAAATCCTACTCGACTTCTAGGCAATTCTTGCAAAAGACGGAGCATTTGCTCCGAGCTCAGCAGGACACAGACCCGGGTGGGTAACCAGCCTGCCCTCCTCCTAACCCCATTGCAGCTCCCGGGGCCCGCTCCAGCCACCCGTGCTTTGGAGACACCACTGAGCCCGTGAGCTGGAGAAGCCAAGAGCAAAGCGACCACAGACAGAAAAAACAAGCAGCAAAGATGAGAAGACAGGAGATCTTCACAGCCTCCCTTCTCCCCGACTGCAGCAAACTCCCAAGGGCCAGCATCCAAATTCACGTCGGGCCAAGGGATCTGTAAAATCTGCAGTCACCGTCATTTAAGCGGAGTGTAAATCTGTCCGTCAAGTACCCACTGTTGCATATTAAATAAGATCTGTTGGATATTAAAGTACCAACTGTTGGATATTAAATTGGCTTTCATTCCTGCCAGCCTCTTTGTGGTCAGGGGTCACCCGAGTCCCAGCTATTTCTCTGCATAAACCCAGCCTCACACATGCCTCGCCAGGCAAGACACCGATCCGGTCTCCACGTCTAGATAGCTCGGTCCCCTCGCTCACATTGCTCACCACAAAGTCTGGTCAGGCGGTGATGAGTTATGTAACCCTCAGCCCTTTACGACCCAGACCAAAAACCAACTCTCTTCCCACTGGCCCCTAGGGTTGGTGAAACGGACTGAGCAACAGCCCGAGATCCTTTGGGATAAAATGCTTCCAGCATTTTAACCACGAGCCTTTTGTAAATGGATGCACGAAGACAGCAGTGCCGCCAACTCTCACTGCTGTTTTGGGTCT